CGCTTTTTAGGGCGTTTTGCGGGATTTTGTCTCACATTCCAAGGGCTCTGCTTCCCTCTAGCGGGTTCGCTCGGCACTTCCCTTTGTATTCTTTTTTACATCCTGACAGACTATTTCTGACAACTCTATTTTTTATTTTTCGTGGCATTGCTATTCAAAGTTTCTTCCCAATCTTACTCATTCCACGCTTTTCGTAAGTTTAACCCTCTTCTTCCCAGGCTGCTTTCTTATTTCTGACATACATCATATTTATGATATATATATATATATATTTCTGATATACATAATATTTCTGATGTAGATTCCTGGCATACATCATATTTCTGATATACATATTTCTGGTATTTATTTCTGACATACATAACATTTCTGATATATATAATATTTCTGATGTATATATTTCTATCATACATAATATTTCTGATATATATCAATTTCTGCTATACATATTTCTTATTTCTGAGATACACAAATATCACCTGGTGTTAGGGAAGCGACTCCAAGCCTTTGGCAGACTGCTGAAGGGATAAAGTGGAGCCTTTTTGGGTGGCAATGACGCTTTTGGCATCAGGAGATTTCAACACTAAAGGAGAGGCAGAGCCGGGGAGGCTGTGTGAAATTTGGGGTGTGCAGGGGGTGTGGGAGCACCGAGAGCTCCGAGTGCGAGGCCATCTGCTCCTGCTGCAGGATCAGGGTGACAATAAATTCTGGGTTTGCAGAGATGGCTCCTGAAATCCTCACATTAAAGCTGTGCTCTGTGCAGGGAGCAGAGCTGGGCTGTTCGCTCGGATGCTGTGAAGAAAATGAGGAAAAATCCAGCAAAAAATCCCTCCAGAGGTGTACCCTGGTGTGGCAGCACATTTCTCTCCCTCTCAGGATTTTTCACAGAGGTGCACAGAGAGAAATGAAAGAGAAAAGAATTTCTATTTCTGCTCCTTGTTTTTCCCATGTGGAATGTGTTTGGAGAATTGTTTCCCTGGGGTGATGCTTGGTTGGATTCTGGTGAGGATTGTTTGAGCTGGTGGCCAATCCAACCCACCTGGGGCTGGGCTCTCAGAGAGGGGCACGAGTTGTGTGAGAGTTAGAGTCAGAAAAAATAGTATGTAGTTTTAGTATCCTCCTTTTATATAGTATATTAATGTATTTTAGCATAGTTATAATAAAGAAATCATTCAGCCTTCTGAACTGAGTCAGACATCAGCATTTCTTCCCTCTGGGTTCACCTGCATTTACAATACCCTGGTGTCATAGTTGAGATGGAGACAACACAGAGCAACACTCTATTTTCAGAAGGCTTCAAACCTGTTTTTATTACAGCATGCATGATTTTTATACATTCTTACAAATCTCTTCAGTTTAAACTTTACTCATTGGTCAGGAAAGACAAACAAAGTGCTCATTGGAATAGGCAGCTGCAGGTTTCTCTTATTTATCCCTTATTTATCTCTTATTTATCTCTTATTTATGTCTCATTTATATCTTATTTATCTCTTATTTATCTCTTATTTATCTCTCATCTATCTCTTATTTATCCTCCTTTCTTGGTTTCTATGTCAGTGACCTTGGTAGAGAATTCTTTCAGGTGTAAAGGTGGATTCTCTCCTCAAACTTCTCTCTGGCTGACAGAATTGCTGTTAAAACCTCTTCCACATTCTGACCACTTTGAAAATGGAATTTTATTTTGCCTTCCAGCCTCCTGTTCCGTTTGGCTGTGCGAGGCTCAGACCGAGTTCAAGAGGGTGGCCGAGGACAACGTGACCCTGCCCTGCCACCACCGCCTGGGGCTGCTGGAGCAGGGCAGCCTGGACATCGAGTGGCTGCTGCACATCTCCGAGACCGTGCAGAAAGCGGTGGGTTTGTGTGCACATCCTCACTCCAGTCAGGGAGAAAAAGAAAGATTTCAGCCAGGGAAAAAGTCTGTTTGTTCATGTATCAATATGTTCTACCACACTGACCTAAGCCCAGTGCACCAATCTGGTGAAATGTTTTTACTCCAAGACCAAAGGAATCAATGTTCACGATGTTCTCTATAAAAGAGAAAAGTGCTTTTGAATAAACTTCCATTTACCTTCCGAAATCATGCAAGTCATTTCACCCTTCCCTGGCTCTACAGCATCAGGGTTGCTGAGAAAATCACTTTATTCCTGCCTTCGCGCCACCAGCCCTCCATTTAACAGCACTGCTGTGCTGAATTTTGCAGGTTGTTCTGGTGATGAGAGCAGGGTTTGGAAAACAGAGCTGATTTAGAGAGATTTAGAATGTGGAACAATTATTTGATATCCAACACAGACCAGGTTCAGTTACAATATTTTTTTGTTTGTTTTAATGTAGTCAGTCTTCATTAGATCGAGTTCAGAAGTGCTCTTCAGGCTTTTAAAGTAACCTTGGATTTTGCAGGCCCAGTTTTCGAATCCTTGGTTTCAGCACGACACAGACTAAACAGTAGTTTAGTCCTTATAAAAATGAGGTCTGCATCAACCTAAATTAGCACAGCCAAACCTGCAGACTGCTTTGACGTGTTGTGGCACAAACTGACGCCTGTTTTTACACTTGTACAAGTGCCCAATATAAACCTCCAGCAGAAATAAATCCACTTTTTGCATCATTCTCAGCGTAGAAACCCAGGTTTGCTTTCACACCCTGCCCCAGGCTTCCTGTGTGACCTTTGACAAGTCACTTGTGCAGCTCCTGGAAACGCTCGGATTTGTTGTTGAATGAGAAAATAAAACAATAACTCAGTGCCTGCTCTGCTGCTCAGGTGATCACCTACTCTGGAGGCCGTGTTTATGATGACCTGAACGAGGAGCAGAAGGGCCGAGTCTCCTTCACCTCCAACTTCCTCGCTGGAGATGCATCCTTGCAGATCATCTCGCTGCAGTCCAGCGATGCAGGGAAGTACATCTGCAAGGTCAAGAACGCCGGGCAGTACGAGTGGGCTCACATCACCCTCAAGGTTGTGGGTAAGGACAGCTGCCTGTGATTTATTAAAAATATGGATATTGATCTAGTACTGATAAAGTTAGACAGTGTGTGTTTATTGTGTGTGGGATTGCTCCCAAATCCACACCGCAGCTTCCAGGTGATTACAGAGCCCTTTTATCCATACAAGTGTTGAATACCCAAAATACAAATCCATATTCATCATTTTGGTACATCCCATTCCTCGCTTCCTCTGCTGATCACTCCAAAAGCCATTCAGCGTGCGTGGTTTGTTCCTTGGAATGGGTCGGTGTCCCTTCCATGGGGAGGGGTCCCAAAATGAGGAAGTCAATGAAGTCTTCCTCCTTCTGACCTTTCCACCTTTTCAATGCCAATATGACAAATGAACTCTTGGTAGAACTCCCATTCCTTGTCTTCAGTTGGTTTCAGAACAGAGGAGGCCACAATTGTCTGATGTTCCTAAAAGCTCTTTGTCAGTTTGTGTATTCTTCATTATAAACCCAGCTAACTCAACATTGTGCTGACAAGCAATCAGTTATTAGTTAACTACTAACTCTTAACTTCATCAAGGCCTACTTATTTATTTTAATTAATTCTAGTAAGGCTTATTTCTCACTGAAATCTTAGCTCTTCTAAAATCTCTAAATTCCTTAAAATGTACATTTCACTTGTTCTCCTAAAGGGAGACCAAGAAATCCAGACTCACCTCCTGGGCAGAGATTGGTTTCAGGAGGGTATAAATATACAAAGACACCTCAAGATTGGGTTTCAGTGCTCAACTTTATATCTGCCTTGGCATTTTTTTGGCCACAGGAAGAGCCTAAAAAACTGGTTTGAGGTTGGTGTGATAGCACTGAACTAAGTACTGAACCCTAAAACAAATTCACAAGGATCATCTTATGCACCATGAAAATATCAAGGTTCCCATCTGATTATGTCTCCAGTAGGTTGCTGCTTAGTGCTTCCAGAGGTGTCATTTGCAAAAGTTGTTCCTCTGTTCATCTCTCCACTTCCTGGCAGCAAATTAGGACACAAATAGGCACAAATATGTAAAGCCATTCTTTCCAAATGATGGCTCTGATCTCATCCCCCAAAGCAGGCTGATGCCCTGTCTCAGCTGGCCGTCACCTGCTGCGGTGACAAATGAGCAGCTGGGGGTGGCATTTCCCTCCCTGATTTCAGTTCATTGCTTTTCACACACTCTGTGATCCCTGGAAGGATCCTGCAGCTGCTGTGGGCAGAAAGAAGGGAAGGGAGGGAAAGATGTTCTGGAAATGGTGAGGAAATTGTGAAGAGTGTGATGATAGAGCTGCACTGATGCAAGTGATCATGAGGCAAAAGAGTGGGAAAGGAAAGGAAAGGAAAGGAAAGGAAAGGAAAGGAAAGGAAAGGAAAGGAAAGGAAAGGAAAGGAAAGGAAAGGAAAGGNAAAGGAAAGGAAAGGAAAGGAAAGGAAAGGAAAGGAAAGGAAAGGAAAGGAAAGGAAAGGAAAGGAAAGGAAAGGAAAGGAAAGGAAAGGAAAGGGGAAAGGAAAAGGAAAGGAAAGGGGAAAGGAAAAGGAAAGGAAAGACGAAGGGAGGGGGTTTCGTTTTCCCCTAAAAGCCATCACTGGTGTGATTCCTTAACGTATCCCAGGGAAGGCAGCTCTTGGAAGATGTTTAAATGCCAAATGAAGGGTTCCCAGTGAGCAAACTCTGCTGTGACGGCATGACCTGTCTTCTCCTTCTAGAGAAACCCTCCAAGCCCAAGTGCTGGCTGGAGGGGGAGATGCTGGAAGGGAAGGAGCTGTCCCTGCAGTGCCGCTCCGCCTCGGGCACGGCCCCCATCTCCTACCGCTGGCAGCGCATCAGCGAGGAGGACGAGAGAGCCGAGCCCCTCCCGCCCAGCTCCAGAGTCAGTGAGTCGGGCATTCCTTCCCCCAGCTCCAGAGTCAGTGAGTCGGGCATCCCTTCCCCCAGCTCCAGTCAGTGAGTCGGGCATCCCTTCCTCCAGCTCCAGAGTCAGTGAGTCGGGGCATCCCTTCCTCCAGCTCCAGTCAGTGAGTCGGGCATTCCTTCCTCCAGCTCCAGTCAGTGAGTCGGGCATTCCTTCCTCCAGCTCCAGTCAGTGAGTCGGGCATTCCTTCCCCCAGCTCCAGTCAGTGAGTCGGGCATCCCTTCCCCCAGCTCCAGTCAGTGAGTCGGGCATTCCTTCCCCCAGCTCTGCGATCACTGCGGGGATGCTCCAACACTCCTCCCACTGCTGCGGCTGCACCTGGGGAGATGCTCAACCTTTCTCCCCCCTTTCTCCCTTGCCCCCTTCTTTCTCCCTTTCTCCCTTCTTTCTTCCTTTTTTCCCCCTTTTTCTCCCTTCCTTCTCACTTTCCCCCTTCTTTCTCCCTTCTTTCTTGCTTTTTTCTCTCTTTCCTCTTCTTTCTCCCTTCCTTCTCTTTCCCCTTCTTTCTCCCTTCTTTCTCCATTTCCCTCTTTTTTCTCACTTCTTTCTTCCTTCTTTCCCCTTTTTTCTCCCTTCCTTCTTCCTTTCCATCTTCTTTCTCCTTTCTTCCTTCTTTCTCCCTTTCCCCCTTCTTTCCCCCTTTTTCTCCCTTCCTTCTCCCTTTCCCCTTCTTTCTCCCTTCTTTCTCCCCTTTTCTCCCTTCTTTCTCCATTTCCCTCTTTCTTCTCACTTCTTTCTTCCTTCTTTCTCCCTTTCCCCTTCTTTCTCCCTTCTTTCCCCCTTTTTCTCCCTTCCTTCTCCCTTTCCCCTTCTTTCTCCTTTCTTCCTTCTTTCTCCCTTTCCCCCTTCTTCCTTCTTTCCCCTTCTTTCCCCATTTTTCTCCCTTCTTTCTCCATTTCCCTTTTCTTTCTCCCTTCTTTCTCCCTTTCCCCTTATTTCTTCCTTCTTTCCCCCTTTTTCTCCCTTCTTTCTTCCTTCTTTCCCCCTTTTTCTCCCTTCCTTCTCTTTCCCCTTCTTTCTCTTTACTTTCTCCCTTTTTTCTTCCTTCTTTCTCCCTTTCCCCTTATTTCTCCCTTCTTTCCCCCTTTTCTCCCTTCCTTCTCTTTCTCCCTTCTTTCTCCCTTTCCCCTTCTTTCCCCCTTCTTTCTCTTTTCTTTCTCCCTTCTTTCTCTTTTCTTTCTCCATTTCCCTCTTTCTTCTCACTTCTCCCTTCTTTCTCCTTCCCTTCCCGCTCGCCATGCCCTGCCGCTGATTTCCCCCCACACCCACCCGTGCCCCTGTGCCCTGCCCGCAGCTGCCACTTCCCGGCTCCGCTGGCTCATTCCCGTGGTTTTTCCCCTCGCAGACATCTCGAACCCCGGGCAGGTGCTGCTGAAGAACCTCACCGGGCTGAGCACGGGGCTGTACCGCTGCCTGGCCACCAACGAGGCGGGCCAGGAGAGCTGCGAGCTGCGGGTGATGGTGCAGCGTAAGTACCGCCCCGGCAGGGAGCCCAGCCCTCCTCCCTGCCGCCCAAAAACGAGACCGAGGGCTCCTCGTACTTCATCCCAACAAAGGGACAAACCATGGGGCATTTCCCTGTGGTCTCTCCAATTTGTAGAGAGCACAGCCTCCTTTTAATCCCAATTTCCCGGCCACATTTCCCTTTCTCTTCCCCACTGTTTGAGATATTTGAGAGGTTCAGACTTCCCAAATCACCTAACACACAGCCCCTTCTAACGTGGGCCCTCCTTTTTCCTTTTCCTTGTGTCAATCAAGGTTTCTAACAGACCCAGACGTCTGAAGTGATAAAACCGTCATCTGCCCTGCCTTTCCAATCAATGGAATTCCCATGGAATTTATGCTTCTTCCCATTGTTTCCTTTTGTCTCTCAGCATCCAATTTTATTTATCAGCTGACAGTTTGTTTGCAAAGACAAATCTCTCTCATTCTTTTCACCCATTCATCAATGGGATCTTCCCCTTTGTTTCTTTTCTTCTTTGTTCTTCTTTTATCTCTCAGGGCTGGGTTTATCTCCCAGCAGAACCACAGTTTGTAAAGAGAAATCCCTCCCTCCTTCCAGCCAGAACCGGGACCGGCTGCTTCCCAGCTCTCCCACCTGGAAAATTCTGTGCTGCTCCTTTGCCCTTTCATACTTTAATCCCATAAAATAACTCTCATTTCTTGCATTTTTGATTCACACAGCAGCCCTCACCTAAAATAACATCACACAGCCTGATTCCAGATGATGGTTTTATCACTTTAGATGTCTGGGTCTCTTAGAAAAGTTGATTTTTCAGAAGGATTCATGAAACACAAGCAGGGAAAATGGTAAGTGAGGGGTTCTGGAGTGATTGCATGACTCTCAGGTATGAATTCTCTCTCCAAATTATGGATTTGCTGCACTTGGGACAGCAAAATATCTAAAGGCAGTTGGGAAGGCTGGCTGGGACAGGGACGAATTTGCAGGATAAAAAGCAACTTTTGACATAGTTTAGTCGTTTGTGTCCTGAACAGCAGAGGGCAAAATTGTCTGATTAACCCCAAAGGGTGTGTGCAGGGTGTCCCTCACATACCAGGAAAAGGGTGGGGGTTTTCACCCAAAGCCAAACAATGCCGCTCTGCAGCTCTCAAAGCTGGGCCTGCTGTGATAAAAGAAGTCTCCTCCTGAAGATTCCACAGCTTTGGAATTTCTCTGCCCGGCCAAGCCTGAAATAACTGGAATACGGAATGAGGAAAACCGGTTTGCCTCGGGCATGTGAAGTGAAAGCGTCCAGGCAGCTTTTATGGCAATTGAACTGAACTGGTTTAAAACCTCCCTCGGCTTTGCTAAACCCTCCTGAGGGACTGAGTTTAAGGAAACAACTTTCAGCCAAGCCCAGCCTGACCACTTTTATCCGAAAAGGTCATAAACTCTCAGCAAGGGCCCATAACCCATGGGAAATGTTCTCTCATTATCTCGGCTGCTTTGGATGAACAAAGCCCTGCCCAGGATGGTTTCCTTTCCTGCTTTTTGTGCCTCAGCCAGGTCACTTTTCCTCCACATTTGAATAATTCATGCCAGAATTAGGCTGTAATTATTCACGGGGAGTTAAAGGGGAAAACAATATGTGAACAGATCAAACATTCCCCTGCCTTGGGTGCAGCCTGGCGCCGTGTTTCACATGGGGGCTGGCCTGTATTTGTATTTTCTGTATTTTTACGCTGTTAGAAAGGGATTTTCCCTCCTTATTTCAACTCTGCCCCACAGCTGAGGGCACAGCACCCATACTTTCACCTTTGCACAGGCGATTGCTTCACTCCCTGCCTGGGGATGAACTGGTTCAACTTCTGTGTGGAGACACACCCAAAAAAAAAAATCATCTCCAGCCTTCTGTCCTGAGTTATCCCCAGTGCTGGGACTTGTAGGGAGGACTAGAACCTGACCACGCCAACAAGGGCTCAGCGATAAATTTGGTTTTTTTTGGACAACAGACGCACAGAACATCAGCATGATCGCCGGGGCAGTGTGTGGAGTGGTGGTGGGGCTCTCCCTCCTGCTCCTGGTGGTGAGGTTGACCATCAGGAGGAAAGAGAAGAAGAGATACGAGGAAGAGGAGGCACCGAATGAAATCAGGTAACGCCTTTCGTTTCATCCCACCTCCCACACTCCCTTCCTGCGCTCTCCCACGCCTTTGCACCCAGGTTTTAGCCAGCTGTAAGCAGCTTTAAGTGTCTGCAGAGGTTGCTCGGAAAAAGCTTTTTAAGCCTCCGTGAAATGTCACTGACAAATTTTTTGACGGTGAGAATCTTCGTGAAGACTTTCCAGAAAATCAGATTAAAAGTCACCCCAGCAAATTAGCACAGAGCTCAACCAACTGTTTTTCTCTCACATTTGTAATTTCGGTAGTTTGAAACATTTGCATATTCTTTTATGGTGTCAAATTGAAGCTGCTTGTCCGTTGTGGTTTTGAGAGGGTTTGGGGGAGGTTTCCTTTCCTTCTTTCTTTTCTTTCTTTTTTTGTTCTTTCCCCCTCTTCTTCCCTTCTTTCCCCTCCTCCTTCCCCCCTCTTTTCCCCTTCTTTCTTCCTTCTTTTCCTCTTCCTTCTCCTCTTTCCCCTTTCCTTCCCACTTTTCCCTTTCCACCTAATTTACTCCCTTATTTCCCCCTTCTTTCCACTTTCTTTTCTTTTATTTTCTCCCTTATTTTCCCTTTCTTTTCCCCCATTCTTTTCCTTTCTTTTCTCCCTTATTTTCTCCTTTCCCCCCCTTCTTTTCCCCCATTCTTTTCCTTTCTTTTCTCCCTT